TTTACAACTAAAGTTGCCATCCCGGGGTAGCTAAAGTTGCCATCAAAAAATGTCAAGGCGGAATTGCTTCGTGCCACGCGTGCAGGGTGGGGATGAGTAGTTGTTGTTGGTTCGACATGTGGCACGAAGTAGCTGCGTCAAGACGTGTGGGCGGTTCTAATGTTCACCCACACAAGGTCGTGTGGGACTACCTGCTCGGCATGCCACACAGGGTCATGTGGTCGGGTATCCATTGTGCTACACGTGTGGCAGTTATCGGCTTCCTTTTTCTCCTTTTTCGAGGACCAAATATTACTATTTCTCTCTTCTCTCACATAATTTGAGGGGTAAAAAGTACTAGAAGAGAGAAGGTTGACATATGGGCTACACCATAAGGCTCATAAAGGTATTAAGCATTAGAGGAATCTATTAAGATACTAAACTTCCTAGATTTGTAGCTGGCGGGGACTTGTGAGGTTCACTATGAGTTCCGCGTGTAAGAGCATCTCCAACCGCGCCCCCAAGAAGGCCCCCCAGACAATTTTTCGGCCGCCGGCGCCAAAAAATTGGCCCAGTCGCGCCCCAAGGGTCCAGTTTTCGCCGGCTCGGGCCGAAATTGGCGTCGGCGGACCCAACCCGAACCCAGCGCACTGGGGGTCGCTCGGGGGCGCCGGGCGAATCGTTTTTGGCGCGAAGAGCCGCGGGCCCGCTGCGTCAGTGACTCGACTCTCTTCTCGCCGCTTCGTCATCCTCATCGTCTCGTTTCCCGCGGCGAATCAATGCCAAAACTGCGCGCGCTGCCGCGCCGGTCAGCCTCCATTGATGCCTCACGGGCGGTGCAGTGAAGGCCAGACAACGCGCGTCCCCTCGCCCTCCACGCCACCACGCCACGCGTAACGCGCCGGCCAAGCCTACCACGCGGCGCCTCCGCCTATATAAGCCGACCACCAGCGCGCCGGAGACACACACAGATACTCCGCCGCCGACGCGCCCATTTCTCCCCCTTCCCTTCCTCCTCTCGCCGTCTCCAGTTCAGAAGAATGGCCGAGCGCTTCCCAGGCGACGGCGCGGTGGCGAATGGCTTCGGGCGCTGCCATCTTCACGAGGACGAGGCTCACCTCCTTTTCGAGGCCGAGTACCCGGTCCCGACAGCCCGCTCTGGGAGCCCTACTTCCGTCGACGTCACGCCGAGCAGCTCGAGGCCACCAACGGCGTCGTGCCCTCCGGCAGGCTCAACTTCGAGGGCCGGCACCGGTGGTGGGGCGTGCCTGGCCGCACGTTGGAGGCCGTCCTCGAGTACATCGAGGGCGGCAACACGCCGCGCCTCGAGTACCCCGCTCCCCTGTCCTTCTCACGCCGTCGTGGGAGCTCCTGGACGCCGAGGCGCATGGAGCGGCCCGGGGCGTCCTTCTCCTCGTCCGGCCGCTCGTCGGGCTCTCCCTGCCTCTGCCCCGTCAAACCGGAGCCCCAGGACACGCCTGTCAGCGGGCGCACCCGCAGCTCCGGCATCCGCATCGGCGACTCCACCCCCCCCCCCACCGGCCGCTTCGTCCTCGTCGAGCCCAAGCCAGAGCCCGGCCTCCCCGCGGAGTACGAGGAGATAGCCCCGCGCGGCTTCTCCGACAAGGACGCCCTGCAGTGGGCACGGATGACTACCTCCGTGATGAGATGGTCTGGCAGTGCCGGGCCCTGGAGGAGATCGCCGCCCGCAAGCTTGGGCGCGAGGACGAACACGGCATCATGATCCTCGACAGCGACGACGACGAGGACGCCCCCGGACCATCGAACCCGCCGCGCCGACCGGGGGAGGGATGCAGCAGGGACGACGGCGGCGGAGGCGGGGACGACGACGACGGCGGCGGCGGCGGCGACGACTACACGCGGTTCTACCGCCTCCTCGGCATGTAGAACTGCAAAGGCGGACGACGGGCGGCGGGGAGCGGCGAGGTAGACGGCGAGGAGCGGCGATGGAGACGGCGGGGGCAGCCCGTAGTAGTTTTTTTTGTAAAATATGTTTAAATTTGAACAAACTCGCCGATGTTTGCGTTAAATTTGAGTCGTGTTTGCGCCGTATTTAACATTTTCAAAAAAAACGTGGGCACCGCGACTGGGGGGCATCACGCCCCTAGTGCGCGGTTTAGCGCCGGTGCGCCCCCAGGGGGCGATTTTTAGCCCCTCCTGGGGGGCCAACGGCTGGAGATGCTCTAAGGGTGTGTGTTGTTGGCTGAGAATAATTAGCAACTGACACAATACACAATTTTTTTCACCAACTGTTGCTATTAGTTCTCACATTTAATAAAAAAAATCGTCACACAATGGAAAATGTTCATCCATGAGATATAACCTTTACACATTAGTGAATTAATTTGACTCAATAAAAAGACTTATGTACATGGTTTCTATATTTTTTTAGTCCATATATAAATGTGTATATATTCTGGAAAGGGGCCCACCTAACTCTTGATAATTGTTCCATAATATTGTAAATGATGAACTTACTTTTATTTCAGTCGTTTCACAATAAAGTTATCATTAGAATAAATCATATTTGGTGGTGACAAGTTGGGTGAATTTTTTGTACAATAAATATCACCTGCTAAAAATGTATTTATTACATAAAACTACAATAATAAGAAAAAATAAAGATAAAATATGATAGCAAGAAAAACAATAAGAAAGCTGAAGATTATAACAAGCAATAGACTACGAACAAAACCAAATTGCACTGATGCTTGCACTTTTTTTTTGAATTTATTTTAGACTTTTCGGCAATGTACGTTCAGTATGAGGAGACGTTCTTGTCAACTAGGAAGGCGTATGTGCTGACTTCTTCAATTTCAAGATGGTGTGCTGGTTCAGTCTCTCGAATGTGTTCATAATGGTACGGCGTGCGTGCGTGCATTCATATGAGTGAGTGTATGTGCGCATGTATGAGCGTCTATGTCTGCACTATGTTAAAAGAAACAAATTGCACCACAATATTCACAACACCATTGGTAGGCATGCCCTTTGAGGTGGTGGAGTGTGTGCACCACTTCACTACAATTTCTGGTAAATGTACGAAATAGCTAATAGGAAAATCATATGTTAGTTGTATTGGTCTTTTTTTTTGCGGGGAGTTGTATTGGTCTTCAACTAGAAGGATTAGGTGGGCGCCCTCTGTTGTGCGGTTGGTGTTGTTTGGATTTCATAATTGTTTTTGCTTCGGTGTGTGCAGAGTCGATGAAGTGTTTTTTCTTATCAGGTGATAATGACCAGTCAAAATCATGAAGCAAATTTAAATTTTTTGAATGAGGGAGCTCCTTGAAAAATTGTTGACCAAGTCAAAATTAGAAACTCAATCCAAAATCATGTTGGAACTTTTTTTGTCAGGTGATGAGAGTGTGCGCGAGACTAGTATATTTTTACAAGCTGGTTCTTGCCGATTTGAGAAATCATTGATAAGTCGAAATCATAAATAAATTAAAAATTAAACACCTCACTTGAACGAGAGAGCTCCTTAAAAATTGTATACCAAGTCAAAATTAGGACCCCAATCCAAAACCAATGTCCTCAATTGAATTAGAGGCCTTCACCCCTAGGGAGCTTAATAATATAGTAGATAGACTAGCAGCTTTAGCGGCTAGCCTTGCCCAAAAAGAAGAAGAAAAATCGTAACAATAAATAAATTACTATAAGCTAGCAAGTGTTTATTTAGCAATTCTTAGGAATGTAGGATTGAATAATATGGACATGTAAAATGTAGCTCGAGCTCTCATGCTTCTAGATTAACATTTTTTTAAAGAAAAGGTAATTGTTTGGGCAACAAATATGCTCCTGTGTTCTATCTACGTGCAAAAGTTTGTTAATAAATAAAGGGATGTCATTATTGTGCTATCAAGAAACAAACAAATTGATGCTTTGAAGAAGTTCAGAAAATAAGCATTTCAGAATATCAATTTGCTTTTTCTTCGCCCATAGCACCACGAGTATCATGTCTTTATGAAAATTTGCATATCGTTAGAACCTAGAAGACACAAACATGAATGTCGTGAATAAAAAAAACATATTATTAGTTGAATAAAAAAAATATTATATTGGTTTCTCGAGCTTCATAAAAAGTTATCACTTGGGTATGGTATCAAACATATTACTTTAATTACTTCCAATGCAATATATTCACAAACTTCGACATAATTGTGTACTGCTCTCCCTGTCCCATAATATAAGAACATTTTTCACACTACACTTCAGCTTTTAGTTTTCAGATATTCAAACATCCGACTTAGAGTGAGGGAGCAGTTGTTCCAGCCTTCATATATTTTTTTGGTTATTGTGGCTATAAAACTTTTGCCGACTCTACTAGAGTTGCTTTTATACCCAACCTACGATTTTCATCAAAAGTCATCGCCAGTGGCGGAGTCAGGATTCGAGTATAGAGGGGGCCGAGTACGTATATT